ATCTTTCGCCAGATAACCAATTAGAATATATAATTAACTGCCAAGCCGGGTCTCCCTACGTCTCTCTAAATTCATGGTAGGACAGTGCTTTCAGGAGCATTTCACTTGGCCGCCGTGTGCATGTGATGAAATGGAAAGGCTGGATTTGGCCGCCTCTCTCCTAACCCTGCAACAGATGCAGCAGGAGGAAAGCTGCAGACTAACATAAAAGCCGTTTTCTGTTCAGACATGCTTATGAAAGAGCCCATGTCGGCCCACATAACCATTTTCTCTGAGGATCTGCCCATCCTTGCTTAATTATTGCTTTGTCTTGCGTGTATGATGCAATACAACAGGGTTGAAACTAGCCACTGATCTTCAGACCCCATGTTTCTCAAGGATGCAGTGCAGTACTGCCATCTGCAGGCAACATCCTCCCTACCGCGGTTCAGTGTTTGCATTACAAAAAGGGACCTTCAGCTTCTGGACAAAAAAGAAAAAAGAAAAAGAACCACTGAGTATATTGAAAGGAAGGGCTTCAACACAGATGTGGCTCACGCATTAATTAAGCAAATAACATCCCAGCACACACAGGGTCGGGTATTAAATGCTGAACAGGATTGGTTGTCTAATTATGGCTAGCTGTCAGCTAGGGGGGACCTCACCGATTTCCGTTTGCCAGGAGATTCAGTGACCAAAACAGCCGAACCTGCTGAAGTTTCATGAGCAACGTTGTCTAAGGTGATGTCAGCATGGACCCTCCGAGGGAGAGACATCATCGGCACAGGAGCAACAGAAGTGCAATTACGAGACTGCGATATATCGGCGCATTGATTTAACACGCAAACAGGCGTGCAACTGCAGATCGAGGGAGCGCTGGAAGGGTGTTTGGGCCCTGTACAGGGACTAAAGCAGAAATCCCTGCTCCCTGAGCTCCTGCTCCGCGGTTTCAGAGCCGGGACGGGGAAACAGCACGGACAAACACAAGCGGTAGGGCTTGGGGGGGCGACTCTTTCATTGTGCAAATCATCCACTTGCACCGACTGATGGTGGACAATCCCCTGATTGAGAAAGGTTTTATTTCATGTTGGTCTGATGATCCGGGGGAATGTATACTTATGGCGAGATGTTTCCTTTTAAATAAAGTTTATATTGATAGAGGAAAAAAAAAACCTAAAAACCGCAGATGGACTGTAAATTGAAACGTGGAGCAGGAGCAGCAAGTTTCATCTTGAACAGTTAAACGAGAACTCCGTGAAGAGGTATGCCCTAGTCGGGCTGCAGTGCACAAACCACTCATCCCGCCTGATGCTGCCCGTTCGCAAGTCCAGCGGCACAAGGAGCCCAGGCAGTGGACTGCTGACCAGCGAGGAACTGCGAGATGCTCGGATGAATCATCCTTCCCCCTGTTCTCGCCAAACAGGGGAGCGCGCGCCTGTGCTCGGTTCCGACAGCGAAGGGATCTGGTGATTTCATGTTGTTGCGTTTTCCTGGCATGGTTTGGCTGCACTCATTCCCTTAGAAGGCCAGTTCGGCGCTAATCGCTGCCTAACGACACTGAGCGCTCATCTTTAGCCCATGCTGCGGCTCTTCTTTTCCGCTGGGAGGGGTGCCGTCCAGGATGTCAAAGCCCCCAGCCACAGAGATGGACACGGGTGTAATTCGTGGGTCAGGGGGCCTCTTGGATCCTAGATCTGGACCCCATCAAGTTTTATTCTGGAACGACGCCCGATCCGGCACTTTCCACCTCCAGCAGTCAGGTGCGAAATGACGGACCTTCTCCTGCAAGAATGGTGCTGCAAGCCTCCTGCAGAATTCCCAGCGCCGGGAGACTCCGTGTTGTCCTGGTGGCCCAATGCCCTATTAAGCGACTTGACGTTGGCGTTTCCATTGTGTCGTCCACTACCTGTACGACTCCTTTTGACAGATGTGGGTTTTTTTTGTTTGTAACTACTTTCACAACTTGCACAGAAATGACTAACTTATTGGCCAAGATTCAGGAAACGGATGTCGGAATGCTGTCTGCTCCGATCTGGCTCCCGGGGCGGGTGAGGGAATGGAAATCATGAGCTTTCCATTAGACCTCAAGGTTACAGGGGGGAGTGTTTTCACAGATTCGTGGACTGCCACAGCCTTCTCCGAGAAAAACCTCACATAAAGTCTCTAGTTACAGGATACGGCAGTAGGATTACTGTTACAGGAATTTTATTGTTCCATTACAGGACCATTAAAGGTCTGGTGATAAAAACCACAAGCCCAACAACAGATAGGTCTCAAAGTTTAAGGGACTACCTGATAACATTCACATAACCACGACCTTATAAATCTCTGCTGACTTCAGACTGAAACCGAAACCTGTAGCAAGTCCAACCGGAAACATTCTGAGCTAATTACTGTGCTAAACATGGAGTCCACCGTTGTTTATATAATCAAATGTAATAAACCTTAAATATAACACAACACCTAACATCTAGGAAACGCCCGAGGTCGATTACAGCACCTCTGCTACACTCTATATAGGTCATACAATTGCTGGTCATCAAACCGCAGTTCTTTTTTCCCCATCCAACTGGGATTCTGAAGATCCCGCTTCCCTGGAGATGGGCCGATATTTTATTTTTCCTCTACTACACACAAACATCACGGCCGACCTGCAGAAACAGGTGTTATCACCTCACACACACACACACACGCACGCACGCACGCACGCACGCACGCACGCACGCACGCACGCACAAGGTTCGATCTTGACCGGCAGGTTGCTTAAGACACTGCAGCAGGAAAAGGAGATTTGCGCCACCACCAAACAAAGCGTCCAGTCCAATGGGAAAAAGAACAGGCATGGCATTCAGGGAGACAGCTTGTGTTGGCGTCACTCTTTGCCAGTTTTCGGAGCAGGAGTGTGTAAACAGGGGGGGGGTTATCTTCCGCGAGCTGCCGCCTCCCCCCGCGCCCCAGCGCCGGTCACAGCGCCAGCGTGTCCTTAATGAGCCGCCTCATGGTGGTGCTGACCGACGCCCCCAGCGTGTCGGTGATCTGGTAGGTGATCTTGTACAGGTAGGGCTGCACGTCCCTCAGGCTGGTGTCGAACACGTTGTCCACCTCGGACTGCGTGGGCATCTTGGGCAGGTACTCGTGCCGGTTGATCACCTCCACGATGTTGACGACCTTCTCGCCCAGCTTCTCCCCCACCTTCTCGCGGCAGATCTGCCGCTCCTGCTCGCTGGCCAGGCTGACCACGTTGACCTTGACGCTCCACACCTCCCAGGGGATGCACTCGTCCGAGAAGGGCCAGCGCGACTTCTTCTTCTGGTAGAACTCCAGCGAGATCTGGCCCGCGCCGTCGCCGCCGGAGTTACGCAAAGCCTCCTGTTTATCGGCGCAAAAAACAAACAAACA